GTTGGTAGAAAAAGCAGACAACCTTTTCAGCCCTTTTTCCCCATATAAAATGTGTGGGAAATCTCTGCCAGAGTCTTTTTTTGTCACCCTCCCTGGTAGTTGCATTAAGTTGTCAGCTTTATAAAGCCCCACATCTCCAGCTCTGTGAGATGAAACTTTTTAGGGGTCAAAATCAAATCAACAATATCCAAAAACTATCATGATTTACAAATGTGTGTTGACACATCAATATGTGCTCTGTGGTGACGTCAAGCGTCCGAGGTTTCAGACAGTCAGCAGAAGTAAATTAAGTTTAAGTGACAGAAAAGAAGTCTGCAGTTTGTCTTCTGTCTGGTTTACAAGAGTCACGTTTGCTGGTCACTAATATTAGTTAGTATTGAAAAATAATCCGACTTGTTTCCGTTTTCAGATGTTGATTCGCCCAAAGCAGTCGCAGGACGGTTGCTAGCCATCTGTCAGGGCTGACATGGAACGAGAGGGTTCGTTTCGGAGGTGAGAACACACACACACACACACACACACACACACACACACACACACACACATTTCAGCAAGCAGGTCCCATTCAGTATACAAGAGTTTCACAGCAGTTCCAGTACTTTTTCTTTTCCTTTTTCTCTCATTATGTCTGTTCTTTTGGGCACACAAAGGTGGATCAAAGTGAAAAACGCACACATACACCCCTCACACATTCCTGAATAACCTCATTCATGCTTTCACTCATGCAAACATCCTCCTTTGTTTCGTAATTAGACTCCAGCCTTTTCACTTTAAACTCTTCCTGTTGGTTCACAGCCAAAAACAGAACTTCTGAGTTACATTCTTTAATTTAGACAATGAACTAAACAATACATCGACGAAGGAAGGAATCATCTCTAGACATGGTTTGCAAGTCAATGTTTATTCTGAGTCTCTCTGTCTTCTTTTTTTTTTTCTACATCATCCATTCTTAAAGAGAAAACCTTTGACTGAAATGTCACAATGTACAGCCCTGAACCCTCTTTTCTGAGAGAATTTGGAAACTCATCCTCACTTTGACATGAACTCTGTGTGTGTGTGTGTGTGTGTGTGTGTGTCCTTGTGTGAGTGTGTCTGAGCTCAGGGCTCCTGTTTCCCACACTGACCTATTTATGTGGAGTTGAACTCAGATCCAGGTTGACAGACGGCCCAACAACATACACACACCTTTTCTCCTCTTACCTCTTTTATACGCCTTTGAGTTTCCATCCAATCTTTTTCCTCTTTGCCACTTTCTGTTTTTCCTCCTTGTCAGTGTTTTTTTTTCCTTCTGGTTCTGGTGTCCATACTCATTGAAATTCAGTTCAGTTCCATTCTTTTCACATCATCAATGCCCACTGGCCATGTTTGTTCGTTATAAGTGCAAAAGAAGAAAAACAAATACTTCCACAAAGCAAAAATCACTATGATGAACAAAGAAATATTAAACAGTGATCAGTAAATTGGGTCGTCGTGTGATACCAGCTTGAGCACAGCTTCTCTCAGTTCTGGGCCCCACACAGAGAGACAAGAGAGGAAGATGAAGTGAAATGTGTGTCACCTTTAAAGCCTTCCCCTCCCTCTTGGCTGCTCTTGAACCTCAAAGGGTTCCTTTGTTCGCCGGGCACAAAAGCTCACAGGGTCACATGGTGGCCGACTGGCACAGAGTGGCAAAGGGGGAGAAAGAGAGGTAAAGTGGGAGAGAGAAGAGTAACAGGAGTAAAGGTGGGAGAATTTAAAAAGCGGACGGAAGAAAAACAAAACAAGAAGAAAGAGAAAATGGGCATGTGGAGGAGTGAGACGACATTCAGATCAGTGTGACACAGTCATGGAGTGGGGATATGTGGTCCCTTTTCAGTTAATAGAGTAAGTACATCATGCAGGTGTCGGTGTGAAGACAGGATAGACTGTAAACTGTTGCAGAATTTGCTGATTTGAAGACTGTTTCTTCTGCAGCTCTTATTTCGTAATGTGTGTTTTCATTCTTACCTGCATATATTCAGTATATACCTAAAATTCAAACACATTTAACAAGTTCTGCAATTTTAGCTTGATCCGGAAATTCATGATTAACTGATTCATTGTTTAGTCTATGAGGTATCAAAATGAAGTAAAAATGTTCTTCGCCATTTTCCAGAATGCACATATGCATGTGTTAGCTGTCATTCATTTGCTACTACAGTAGACAATATGATCTAAATCCACAGATTCATTCTTTTAATTCATGTATTGACTTGTTGTCTGGAAGAACTCTGGATATTTACAGCATCTTCTCCTCCTACATTCTTCTTTTTTGTCTTTTTTTCTGTCACTGCATGCTTAATTTGTTTTTTTTCACTCTGCTTTCTTTTTTCTGTGCATCTTAGTCATTTTCCTTTTTTTTTGCACCTCGTCTCACGTGTTGAGTTTCTTCATCTCTCCTTTTTACATCATCCCTCCATCTTCCTCTTACTCTCTTCTTGAGCTTCTTATCCCCACTCTTGCTTTATAGGTTTCTGTTCTTCTTACTTGACAAATACAATTCTCTCTTCTTCGTTCAACAGTGTTCCTGATTTCACCCCCCATCTTTCTACTGCATGTCTCAGAAGTAGTGCAGCACATAAGCTTGTGTAAACAATAACAGATGGCTAATAAAATTAATGAATACTAATGTTAATGTCAACCATTAAAATCAGGAAAAATTATGGTGGTATTTTTGCACAGCAGGTGATACTTTAATGTCTTTTTCTTTAGACTGTATACTGATCTGCTTTAAATTTCAGTTGGTGCATTATTTGTTCAGTTTGGTAGCGTTTTAAACTTACATGGATCAGCAAGTTGAAAATTACAGTCCATGTAAAACATTTTTTCTAGCTTTGTGAAAAATAATGGAAAAACCAAAATCCCCACACTTGTAGGAACATGCAGTTTCTGTTGTGCCAAAGAAACCTACTATGTAATTAGAAGACTTGAATCAATAACACAAGCTCCACCTTCCACATCAGGGATTTTTGTTACAAATAATGAATAAACGCCCGTGCTTATTTTTATTTTATCTTTCCATCTTTTGGATTTCAAGGAGCCTCCACAGCAAACTGAGGCTGGGCACTGGCTCATCCTCCAGTCTGACTGACCTCTCGCAGGCAAAAAGCCCAGCAGGAGGTGGGGAGAAGGGAGGATCGGCTGGGGGGCTGGCAGAGGACTGCAGCAGGGACAAAGGGACCCAGCAGAGGAGGGCCGGAGCCAATGCCACCTGGAACAGGTTAGTCTGTGAGAAGCTGATATGTGGGTTAATACATCTCAAAGCATTAGAGGACTTCTGCCCAACCATCTCTGATTTGTTTGAAACTTTTGTCATAACCTATGGATATTTAAAATTATGTCTGTGAAATTTGAAATTTATATATCAAGTAAAAGGATTTTTATTTTTTAATTACCCATTAACTTGTTTTTTTTGGATTCTTCTGTTCCATTGGGAATAAACTTGTCCATCAAGACTATTGTCAGAAAGTTAAACCTGAGTGCATGTTTATTTATAGTAACTGTTAAGAGTTTGCTTTCAAGCATCGCTTCAAATAAGTATGAATTATAATATGTAACAGTTCAGTCTGTTTCTCCAGCCTACAGTGTGGGAAAATGACAAATATGCCCAAATTAAAACAAATGTTCTTCTCAGTTAAAACCATTTTAAAACTCCAGAATTGTGTTTTACTTGGATTAGGCTGTCTCGCAGTTTTTTTTTTTTAGTTTTTTGTGGTACTGCTGTGTAGGTGTGCTCAAAGATGGGACTTTTCATGACAGTTTCAATTTGTTTCCATATCTTAACTCACCCATAGTCAGAGACTATTTGATCTACTTGTCCAATATTACATATTCGGAATGACATGATGAGAAAGAACAGTGACATTTCAGGGCTTCTAACTTTAATATTTCCCTGAGATGTTGTCATTCAAACATAGCTTCAAATTTCAGTGGGCAATTTTTAAAAAAAATGTTAATCTTAAAAAGTATTTGCTATATCAGACAAAAAAATGTACTTTGTTCTACAAATTTAAATCTACTAGGTAATGAAATAAAATGTCAATAATAATATAACCTTGCTGCCATAAAAGCAGACAATGATACTCTTGAATAATGAATGTACTTTGAGTGTTTTTCCCCACAAAATGTTAAGATGAGCTGAAGTTTGTTTCTTCCAACTTATTGGTTCTGAGTTTGTTTCCTACCTGCAGCGTCAGACAGCAGTAGGATCCCTATGGGCATCTCCAAATGGAGAAAGTTGCACACACATTATATTCTTAAAATTATAAGGATCAGGATCTAACAGCAGCTGTGAACACTTCTTCTGCTCAGACAGGTGAACACAGAGTCGAGCAGGTTGAGCAGAAGTTGTTGTAAAGATTTGATCTGAGATCAAATGACCCATGTTATGTTCTTTATCGCTCTTTATTATGTACAGGATTAGATCATGTTTAAATTTGCTGCATATAAAAACACATCACATGTAAGTCACATTTTTACATGTACAAGTGCGTGTGTGCATTTTTTCCCTCCCTGCTGGTATTATAAACATCACCAGCTGAGAGCTCCATTGGTGCTATTATTCATTTTATGAATAGGAACCTCACACACATATGCACATAAGAATCAAGTCTTTCTTCCTGTCCTCCCTCCAGGTCCATCACTGTCCCTTTTTACCCCTCACTCCTTCTTTCATCTCTTACTGCTTCATAGATTCCTTTCTGCTTTGGTCTTCTCTCTCTTTTCTCTGGTTGTTTTTGTGGGGTTTCAGCTTTATTTCACACTTGATAACATGGAATGAATGGAAAGCAAGGAGCTGTCAGTTTGCTGGGTGGTTGGAGGGCTGTATGAACAAAATAAGTTCATTACCCCCTCTAACCTTTTATGTTTTACTCTCCTTTTAACATCCTTAACTACTAGAAGGCCCTTTATTGATAACTAATGAGTCAGGTTTGGGGTAAAGCTGCCTGAGGATGTTTAGATGTTGATGGTCCAAGTGGCTGCAGCAGACAACCAACATTTTAGTGCCGTGTTACCTGGTAACCATCTGACACGACACCTGCTAACATCAAACCACACACTTAAGTCGATCAAGCTTCCTGTGATACTAAAGGTCACATGTTTTGCTTTTTACTGTATTCTTGTCAAATTTGGGGATGTAAACTAAAGGCTGTTAAGCAGTGATGTTTACTCCTGCCACCCCTTGGGAGACAGCCTCCCAGTTGTGCAGATCAGAAAAAATATTTTGTGAGCTTCTTCCTACCAGCTAACAAACTATTGGTTGTCTAGATAAAACTTTGTCTAATCCTGGCTCCTCACTTCTGCTGCTTGCAAGTTGAGCCATTCAGGATAGGCAGATGTCTTATAATCTACCAGGTTTTACGTTCTAGGGCTGCTTCTGCTAACTGTGAAATGTGTCAGCCATGAGTAAAACAAATAAATGTTCTACTGTTGGCTGCAAGAGTGAACACAAGAGTCTTTATGCACTCTCAGCATTTGAAAAACCAAATACCCAGTGGGTTACTTTTATTTTTGAGGCTATACCACCACATAAATAGGAATATTAACCGTCTTTGCAGTATTTCAAACTGAATAATGTAAAGATACATTCAGAGAATGTGTGACACTTTCTTGAAATTTGCTAAAAAGAATCCTCAACAATGGATGTCAGAAGCAAATATAAGAAACGGGAAAAGTGACCAGAAAGTTCTGAGACTGTGCCTATAAAAATGAAAAGCTGTACCGGATTTAAACAGCAATACAGTGCTCCCAGTTCTGCTGTTGTGCTTTTAACACTCCCAGGAGGTTTTGTTATGTAAACATGTCCAGCACCATCTGCAAAGGGATCTCCTCCGCTGACTTCAGACGGCGATCTTTCAACTTGAATTTCAGGAATAAGTCACAGCGAGCCAAATCTGGTCAGTCGGTCGCTTGGGTAGAATCAATCAATCAATCAATCAATCAATCAATCAATCAATCAATCAATCAATCAATCAATCAATTTCAATCAATCAATCAATCAAGCAAAGTGCTTTACAACAATTAAAAACAACAAAGCATTTAAAAACATTACAACATTTAAAAAATAAAGTAAACCCGCCCCTCTCACCCTCCATGCATACACATACACATACAACGAATGCAGTCGCGCACGCACATGGCATGGCATGGCACTGAGGGATTGTGGGAAATACTTGTGTTTGACCAAAAACTCTGTGCGTGACTACCACATTGTGACCAGGCAAACAGTACAACTGAAACAGCCACATGTTGTCATGGCACAGTTCAGGTCGTTTGTAATGAATGTTCTCACTGAAACGTCTCAGGTTGCTACAGTAGAACTTTGCCATCATGAAATCGCAAATGTGCACCTGCCCGTGGTCACAAAAACGTGTGAAATTCAGGTCCCACTGTTGATAGCACGATGTCATGCAGCATCCTGACTCGTGACAGTTACCGTTCGCACACGTTGCACAGGAACATCACGTGCTCCGTGCACATGCAACAGTCTCACAAGTGTTTGTCACACCTCGTATAGGTCTAGTTCTTTCCAGAGGGAATGTTCATTCGCAGGCAGTTTGCGTGTCCTTCCCTCACTTTTTCCTCTGAATGCTTTCCTGTCTGTTTATTCGCAGCATCCACAATGCAGTTATCTCGGTTTTCCAGAGGAAGGATCTGGGAGAAAATGAACTCTACACTCTGAATGAAGGTGTCAGGTTAGCTCCCTGTCTTTCTTATTTCTGGTTTCATGACTGTCTTGCTGAGTTTTTGACAGGCATGCTGCATTTTTTAACTTGTGCTGGTTTGTATTTTTGGATATTTGACTAAATTATAGTGTCTGCTGCCTACTTTCCCCCCTTCGCTTGCTGTAGTGACAGACTTCTTACATCCATAAACACAAAATGTCAGTTCCAACAAGCTAAATTTAATCTTTACTTAAGTCCAAACATTAACACATGCTTGGTAACAATTATTGTTGTTGCTTCACTCTGAGCTGCATCATAGGTAATGCTTTTCCTCTGCTGCTCTTAACTGTTCGTTGTCCACCGAATCACAAACACCTTTACATTGTTTGAAGGGGAAATGACAAGTGGAGGTTACAGAGAGTTGTACAGGCAGTGTACTCAAAACTGACTTTGTGTGTGGTGTAAATACGACAGCAATATACTAAACATACATGCACACAGTATACATTATACACATACATGTATTTGGTGCAACAGTGATGGTGGCTATTTTTGAAGGATGCCAGTCTTCCATGTCCGGGGGCTGTGAATGGACTCAATCGACAAGAATGAAAGCTTCACATCACATGGAAGTGCAGCAGTAGTTATGACTCGGTTCTGTACACAGAACAAGACCAGCAGACTCAGTTTAGATTTTTAGTGTCTCCAAACATGCATTGTTTGTCCAGCGATGTTTTGTGAACTACAAAGATTAAAGGTTACAGTGTTTCAGCAAAATAAATGTCATAATAATCTCAGTTTATCAGTGGAAAATCTGGTTGATGAGCTTTTGTTTTCATTGCGAACGACATCTTTTCTCATTTCCTGAGTCTGCTGCTGTTTAAACACTGCAGTTTGCATAATACTAGTTTTATCACACCTGGCTCATTTTCTACAAGGTATTACTGACAATGTGTGACTGTGTGAGTGTATTTGTGATGTCTCTTCATGCTCTGTATGCACTTACATGTATTTTACAGGCAGCTGCTGAAGACAGAGCTGGGCTCCTTCTTCACTGAGTACCTTCAGAACCAGCTGCTCACTAAAGGCATGGTCATACTGAGAGACAAGATCCGCTACTACGAAGGTAAAAAAAAAATCTATATACGCACAAAAGCATTCAACAAGGGGGTGTGAATACAGGTTGTGAATACTGAACCCCCGCTTTTTTATTACATGTCTTTTTATTGCAGATGTATTTAATACACAAAGAGAAAATTCTCAGGAACTTCCTTGTTTCCCTCACCTTCTCTGAAACATGACTCACATTTTGAACGTCACCATCAAACTTGTTTTAACTTCTAGCTTAAAACAGAGAGAAATAAAGGAAGAAGAACGAAAACAGAACAAATGCAACTTCTCCATTGTTTATTGTAATTCCAGTGTCTCTACAGCTCTGGGACATTTGGACAGTTTTTCCAAAGAAAACTTACAAATAAGCAGATATTTAGCTTATTAAAGGCTGACATGCATGCATGTTTACTGGAGAAGTTTGTAAGTTCTTATAAGTGTAAGACATCTGTTAAAGCTTCATAAGAAATTTGTATATTCTCTAGTTAAATGGGGGGAAAAAAATCATATGTGAAGTTAAGGTTTCTTGGGTATTTCCAGAGAAGCAAATGTCTAAAACACATGAAACAAGTCCTTTGATGAGCCCAAACTTTACTCTGTTATTAAATAACTGCACTTTCTAGGGTCGGATGAAGATTGTTCACAGTGTCAGTGATTCCTTTGAGGGGAACTCCGAGTTCCTAATGACTGACTAGTGTTAGAGAAGCAGAGATAACCCTGTTAGTTAACAATTAGTAAGAACTGTGAGAACATGGCCTTATATCTCCACTGTCACTTCCAGCGAAGGACGTCTTTCTGCTACCCACACTTGTGCACACACACACACACGCAGAAAGTGAGGCACAGAGGAGAGGTGAGAGCAAGCGATAACGAAATTATTTTGTTCTCTCTGTTGTGGTATATGTGTGACCTTTATTTGAAATGATAAAACGCACACACACACACACACAGACACACAGCTTTTTTTGCACAGTCGTCACTCGAGCCAGACAGGAAGCGATCCTTTACGTCAGTTGCACATCCAGTTCGTGCGACAGTTGAGATAAGACAAACCACAGCGGCTCAAAGACTCATTGTTCTGGCTTAATCAATAGAAGATTGTGTGTGATTCTGTGTGTGTGTGTGTGTGTGTGTGTGTGTATGTTAAATATGCCAGTCTTCAAAGTAAGTAAACACCAGAAGTTTGTATTGAGCCTGTTGAACAATTTAATCCTTATTATCAAACGTTTAACGCATATCGTGTATATATGACTGACAGACTTTGATCTGCAGATGGATTTGTGCTCTATGCTCGATTCTAAATGTTGAATTTGCACTGAAAATGCTGCAGAAGCTGTGCTACCCTTAGATTTCAACTGCAGCACAGCATAGAAAAAATGCATCAGAAAGCTGTATGGTGTATGTGCCAACTTGTCAACATTTGGTTCAGTGTTCTTATTCACAGCCTCTATCATGACCAACATTACAGACGTGGAAAATTTACATGGAATTCTAACAATGCATTTCTTCCACAAGCACAGTATAATCTCTTGTTGGCTGCAAACACCCAACAGTCTTGTTGTTGTGATCTGTCTGACCTTCCTGATTGGCTGATTATCTTTCTGATTGTGTCACAGGTCAGAAGTTGTTGGACTCTCTGGCAGACACGTGGGACTTCTTCTTCTGTGATGTTCTGTCCATGCTGCAGGCCATCTTCTACCCCGTGCAGGTAAACACAAGCACCAGCTAATATTCCGAAGAAACAGCTGCATTGTGTTGACATATTTGTGTTTGTGTTTCCAGGGAAAGGAGCCATCAGTGCGTCAGTTGGCTCTTCTCCACTTCAGAAACATCATCACCCTCAACTTAAAACTGGACGAAGCTCTATCTCGACCCCGAGCCAGAGTTCCTCCTTCCATCATACAGATGCTGCTAATACTACAGGTACATACACACCTCCTTTCTTTGCTTTTCTTTTCTTTCTAGATTCTCTCATGCTATCCTCATGCAACCTCTAACGCATGGCATGCACAAACATCCATGACTGATGTGGGGTGAGGGAAGAGGGTAAACAACAACAGATGGGGAAAGAGGAGTGCAGAGTGGAGGAAAAGGTTGAGACTTTTCTTGCAAAGGGATTCTCACAGGAAGTAATCCCAGTGTGAACAGTTGTCTTCCCATGACCACTCTGCACCCTCTGTGTTTATCTATGTGAATTGTCCATGTTTACAATGTCATTTAAGGCCATGGCATCCTCACAAGACCAGAAAAAGGTTAGCAAGTCTGTTATGATTAGAAACTTATTAGACCTCACTTGCTAGAAGTTCTAGAATTCAGCAAATGTTTTGTCTTGTCTGTAAAGAGAGCAGTTGGGTGAAAGTTTGACAAAACCAACTTTGTTTGCATTGGCTTCGACATAATCTAAACCCCCAATCAGAGATAATAGGTATCACAATGGTGGTTATTAACTTTGTTTGTTAACTCAGATCATTTGACTCTTTGTCTGCACAAAATGGACCAAATACATGCCGAGTACTACTAGAGGAACAGCGTGTTATAATGGAGAGCTATGAGATGTATTATAGTATAAAGTGCTGTTACTGCCAATGATGCAAGAGAGGAGCGCTGGTAGACAACTGTTAATTATGTAAGTTACTATATTTTTTAATGTACTGTCACTGCAGCAGCTTAATTCTTACATGACAGCTGCACGTCAGAGCTCTTGAAGTCTAAACTTCATGCATTTAAACGTGACACTTAAGAAGGGCATTTAGTTCTGACACTGTCCCATAATATAGGATCCGTGGAAATAACTTTACTTTTCAGCCAAATCAAAATGAAAGTAAAATTATCGATTTAATATTCTGTGTGATATGTACCAATAGACTAATCAATTTTCTGTCAGCTGCAGTACCAGCAGCGTAAAACAGACTTGGCAGGAAATCAGGGCCAAGTACGAAAGCACATAAATGCGTTCTCTGTTTCACCACTTGAATGCATACATGTTTCCATGCGAACACAACGCAAACAATTGTCCAGTGCTATTATTATTGTCTAGCTGTACAGGTTTGCAGATATAATGTGTTCCCTCATTGGAAACCATGTCACTCTGAGAAAAAATCATCAGTAAACAATGATCTCTGCTGCAGATTAGCTGTACAGCATCAATTACCATGTTGATCTCACGGGTTAAAAGAGAATCACCTTCGCAACACTGAAAACTCTGACTTGAGGCTCAGCTCTCTAATCCTTTAATCTCACATCATCATACTGAAAAAAAGTCTTTACTGATCAAACCCAGGCTTCACTGCTGAAGGATATGTTCATGATTCTGCAGTTCTTTTTGCAAGACAATAAACCTTTAAATACATCAGTGCTTTTTCAAACCATCCTACATACCTCAGATCTTTAGCAATCTAGCTTAATGTAGACAACGTCATAGAATAATATCATGTTGCCAGCAAGCGCACTTGAGCATTCTTTTGTCGCTTGTAAATTTTTAACAGTAGAAAGTTGTCCATATGTTCATGTAGGCTACGGTAACTTCACATTGATCTGCACCTACCAAACCTAAATAGTCACTTTGTTGTGATCTTGCAACATGATTGTGCGTACTATGTGCACCACTTTATAGTCGCCCTATGGAACTAAAGGTCTTCCAGCTTTTGGAAGTTGTAGCACCTCTTTCCTTTTCTCCAGCTCCAACTGCTGAGGTTTTTCAATAAAGTGCACTTAAGATTTCTCTGGCCTCAAGTTTGCCTGGAAAACTACTTATATGTTTATAGCAGCAAAGATCAAGGCAGCTGAAGTAACTGTATACCTCCTAAGTTCTCTGTAAACCGCTACTTGGATGTGTGTAACCTGTTGTCTTTAATTTCATCTCTGCTTTTTGTTAATTAATAGTATGTTTATCACTAGTGTAGTTTTACCACCCTGTAAAATCCATTCAAAGGAAACGATCTTAGAGGGGAAAATCCCGCTTTAATTAAACAGCTCATTAGCATGCAGACATACAACGAGTGTCAACGGGTGATAAGTTAGAAAGTTTGGAAAAACCGCATCGAGTGGTGTAGTTCTCAGAAGATGGCAGAAAGTCTTGTTTCTAAATAGAAAAAGAGAATGAAACCGTGGCTTTCTAAGTATGAAGTGTCGATCAAGATGAAGTGCAGATATTTAGATCTTGTGAAAGAAAAGAAAACTCAAGAGGTGAGGTGTTTCCTAAAATGGATAATAAATAAGAACCCCGTTAATGTAATTTCTGAGTATTTAACAAACCATGCTTTGACCTCCCCTTTTTGCATTTAAAACCAAATTTGTGAACACTGGCTTCTTTAAGCTAATGAAATGTCTTTTGAATGAATTTGTGAGGTGTTTTAACAGCAGAATAACCATCCAAATGTTTCAGGATTTCTTGACAAAACCTGCTCGTTTATGGGTAACCTGAGAGGAAGTCAAGATATGTTTACATTTTTTAGCATTGACTCTAGTTTCCAAGTGAGCGTTTGCTTCGTGCATAACATTTTACTGACCTTTATCTCCAGAATCAGGTCAAAGTCTCCGTAGACTAATCAAAGATCGGCCCTCCTGCCTAAAGATTAGACTCAACCTGCTCACCTGCTAGGTGAAACACAATCCTGGAGAGCTCTGACCTCATATCACATGACAGAACGTATCACCGGGTCCAGCAGTGAACAGAGAAAATTAAATGTGCTCTCAAGTGTGTCTGGTTCATGCACTGTGAGTCTCTGAGAGTGTGTCTGCTTCTCTTTGTGTTTGGACATTGTTGTAGTGACTCATTGACCCAAATCTGCTCCTTCCAGACAGAGAGGGCAAGAAAACACGGCCGCGGGAGGTATGGTTGAAAAGACACATCCATAGAAAGTGCAATATATCTATTCTCTGGTGCATCCATTGCATGCATGTGATCTGCAAAGTGATTTTAATTCAACTTTCTGTTTGCCCACAATGTATTGGAACAGAAAGTAAAGAAAGAGAAAAAGAAAAACAGGTAGAATCAAAGGTATGAAAGGAGACGGGAAAGTAGGGCAGCTGAGACAAAGGTGGAGTACATTCAACACTGAATGTATGCTCTGCTTTTGCTACTTCTTGTTTCATCTGTTAGTAATTTCCCTTTCGTTCTGTTAAAACGCTGTGACGCTAGTTCACTGAAGTCTGTTCTATTTATGTGGTTTGGTTCTGTGCTGTGGTTTTTATGCATGGGATCAGCGATTCAGAGTATTGAAACGTCATTGATCTCTTCTGCACTGCAAGATGCTGGATTGAGGTGTGGACCCATATGTGTTTCACGCTTGAAAATTTGCTTAACAAAATTGTGGAATCCATTCTGAACTGAATCCAGCCACTGAAAGTATTTTCTGTTTATACATCTATGAACAGGAAGAGCCTGAACCTCTAAAACAGTAAAGCATTCATTGTTAAAGACACTAATTAGTATTTTTATATCAATAACAGTTCAAATGGTCTGTTTGAAAGGTGTCACTCACAGTGAGCTTACAGAGAACTACAGGCTTTCTCAGCTCTATGTGTCTTTAAGCTCATTGTTTTGGCTCCTTCCCATCGGTGTCCTATCCAGCAGAAGCAGGCAGCTGTTTTCAGAGACAAAGTCCCTTAAAACGCACTGTTGCACTACCTGCCCAGCACCAAATGGCAGACAGACACAGTTAATGACTAGCTGGTGCGACTGGTGAAGCATCTGGCTGCTGAAGAGCCAGATGCTTCTTTCAAGATCTGGTGGAGACACGGTGCTAATGTTGCTTAGTGTCTGTTGGATGGGTAAGCAGCTGTTTGTGACCATATCAGCTTCATAAGGTTGACATGTGATGTTGTTGTGTATGTCGTTTGTGACACTGCTGCCAAGTGGTCTACAAATCTCAACAGGTTTAAAAACCTCCTCTGGTGAAGAGTTTTTCTTACCTTCTTACCATGTCCATAGGGTTTTTTTTTTTTTAAAAATGCTTGAAAGCAGATTACAGTCTCGAAAACTATCAAGGTTTCACATCTAACAAACATAAGGAACCAATCCTGTCAGTTTGTAGGGTGGGACTTTCCACAGTGTTGTTTCTACAGAATCGGTTCACAGCTTGAACGTGCATAGTAGAATTACTTCCACATCACAGCTTGCCATTGCATAATACAGAGTAGTTTCACTGTGTTTGAGTCGTAGGTGAGCTGATGTGCTTGAGCTCCATTAAGTAGTGGAGTTCAGTGTGTGTGTGTAGAGTTAGATTTAAACTATTTTAAAGCAGGTACGGGACATTTTCATGGAGAAAAAAACATCTAAATATGTAACATTGATATACAGAGATCAGTTTTTAGAAGTTAAATCAGTGACCAGAGGGGAACTTCAGAGACCCAAAACAACGTCATTTATAATCTTTTTATATCATCCATTGCTTAACATTTGCTAGACTGACTCATACACTTTACTTCCTTCCCTCTGGTTTTGTGTATCTGCTTTCAATGCATATAACATAAAGCTAGAAAGACATTTGAACGTTTTTAAACCTGACCTGAGCCCAAAGCTTTATGCAACAAGGATTCACACCTGATGACTGGAGGAACGTTTCATGGGTTCAAGTCAGGTTGCAGCGTTCTGTTTTCTCCGTGGGTCATGTAGCTCCTTCTGCTTTTTTATACCAGGAAAGTAAGTTCCAGTTAGTGTGAGGACGTGTGTCGTTTTCAGAAATGTCCACTTCTCTGATGGTGAGCTTGTTTAGTTTAATCCCAGGATGACGTAATACTGGTATTTATATTCTTTACAGCGTTACATTTCTGTCCTTTGTTCTGTTCCCTCATCTAAATTTTGTCTCTTTCTCTGTATGTCTGTGTTAAACCAGTCAAATGGGTTTGTTTTGTCTGTCTATCTAAATCGAGCAGTGCTGGTGATGTTTCTCTTATCTCTTGCGTGTTTACATAAGTCTAGGATTGATACCAAACTCACTCAACACTTTATTGTTTCTGTCTTCTGGCAGGGTTTATAAAAACATAGCATCTCCTGTTGAGATAATGCAGCAGCAGCAGCAACACATTCAACAATCTTATCAGAGATGCTTCCTTCTACTTACAGTCACTGGCAGGGTGTTTGATAACATCACAGAAAGCCAGATTGAGCTCTTTCTTGCCTTTTTTTTTCTTGCCTTTTAAAATTTCCGTTACTACGGGCCAGTCAGCGGCAATTCCCAGTGTCTGTGTGTATGTTTCTTTGATCCAGGGCGTCCATGAATCTAAAGGCGTAACAGATGACTACCTTCGTCTGGAGTCTCTCATCCAGAAGGTGGTCTCTCCCTACCTCGGGACTCATGGCTTATATTCCAGAGACGGATCCTCCAACCTGCACTGCTCTTCCTGCCTGCTAGGTGTGTTCCTGTGTGAATAAATGTAGAAATATCCAACGCAATACAAGTTTCATGTCCTGCAAGTTTTCCGTGTGTTGTTCTGTGACACCAAAATTAAAAAAATAATCCTTTTCCCTGCAATCTCTTTAGAAAAAAGATTGCAGCGTTCATTTCCCTCCAAACCAGGCAACTCTCCCACCACCAAGAACCCTGTGGTCCGTTCTAAGAGCTACAACGTTCCCATGCTGACCCCTGTGGTGGAGTACGACATAGATGCGTCCACAGGAGGCGGCACGGGCATCAGACGACACTCCGTCTCAGAGATGACCTCTTGCGTGGAGGAGAGCGGCCCGATGGCCAAATCCACCAGCAGCGCCACAGATGACACCAGCAACACCAGCACGTCCAGCCTCGCCAACCACTCCCCAGCCTCCACTGCCTCTGCTGCACTTTCAGGTAGGACTGCATGAAATATGGCAAATCAACTGCAACTTGCTTGATAACAGGTTATCCTTTCCATGTGGACAGGTGACTTTTTAAACATTTTGCATCTTACTGAACTTCACACAAACATACTTTGTGAATGCCTTAAAAAGCTCTCAACAGGCTGTATGTGTTTTTTAATTGAAGTGGAACATGTTGTAATTGATGCTTTAGTTCTATATTTTATAATGACAGCACAAAACAAAGAAGCAACTGACAACTGTTGGCTTTAAAATAAGGTTTACAGAGCTGGGATGTGATTGTCATTTTCTGGAATCAACACTTTTTCAAGTAGCCACAGGTGTTACAGAAACTATAAAACATGGTGCTTATACGTGCTGTAGTTAATTTACTGCTTATAGTTTCACTCTGTTCCCACATTTGTCTCCTCTGTTTAAACACTGCCTGCAGTTCAGCTGAAAAGTGACAGATTTTTAATCATGGGACTGTTGATCACAACTGAGTCACTGAGTGCAGAATGTTTGTGTTTTAACTGAATCTCGTTTGAGCAAACAGTGTATTCTTAATGAATTTTTGAATCAGACACGTGGAACAAAGTTATTTTAATGAAAAATCCTGATTTTAAGCTTCGATTTGGTAAACGTTACCGATGAAATGGAACGAGTCGTACCTTTGTTTCTGTCTCTGATGAATGGTGTGATTTTGGTGTTTTTTTAAGAAGACAACTTGCCTTTCAAACCTGACAGTGGCTTTTCAGTAAGTTAACACAAAGCCCACCATCAGTTGTATGAATTTAGGATTGTTTTACTGAAAATAAAAATCATATTGTGACATAATGACTTAACACTGACAGCCATGATGATTCCTGATCAGGCTGACTCAGCAATGACAGATAACCACAGCCAAGTCGTATGACCTAGATCGTATTGCCAGATGAGACTTCTGATGACTTGACAGGATGAAAACCTTCAGTCAGCAGGATGCTGAAGCATTTCTGTCTCCTGCTGCACGTTGCCTGATTAAATATGTATTACTTACCAGTGCACTAATTTACAGGAAAGCTGATCAAAAAGTGCACCAAAGACTTCTGATCATATAAATTTGTCCTATCCTTTACTGTCTTTTTCACAGACACTGTAACCTCCAGTCAGGACCCCCGACCCAGAGACACTCACAGTCCTGCACCTCCCCAGCAGCCTCACCAGCACTCCCCCTGCATCCTCCCCGAGCCCTCCCCAGGTGAGGACACACACTGCACGGGTTCGCTGGTGTCCGACTCCCCCTCGTCCTCCAAGGCGCTGGCTCAGGACACGAGCTCTGGTCCCAGTCCGTCGTCCAGTCTGGAGATGGTGATGGGACACGCCACGGAGTCTTTGGACTCGGAGCTGGAGCACGACGGCATCTTTCTGGACTTCTCGCGCCGTTGTTCTGGAGGCTCAACGCACAGCAGGGACAGCAGCAGGCAGAGTGTGGCGTGACGCACACAGACGCACACATTCATGTCAGGAACGTCACTCGTATGATGCAGGGAGGATGCTGAGCCGTCACTGACATTCACACCTGATGACGTCTTCTGCAGACTCTAGATCATCAGGGATTCTTTCAAACTGAATTATTTTTCTACATAATGTCGCCTTCTATCACTAAAACAGGTCTGATTTCAGTGTAGGCCTCCAGCTGGTGACAGCTGCAAACACATCAGTCACTTGACTCTTAAACTAGCACTAATAGAATTAGTAGACAGAACTAGACAAGGGTGCTTGTCCTTCTCAAAGCTGATTTTACAGTGTTTTCTTAATATTAAACTCTGAGAAAACACATAAAACAGGAGACAGGAGCTCAAGATGTTTTCCAGATATTTCTCTAGGACCACGGCTGGTAAAAGCTCGGGCTGTCCGATTCAAACTTTAACTTTTCATATGTAAAAGAAAACTATACAGTGATGCACTTCAACATGTTTTATTAATTGATTATTAAAATATGAATTTGAATTTTGCACTGTGTCTTACGTTGAACTGAAGTCTAAATCTGTTGAGTGGTGCGTTTCTGTTGTCTTCATGTTTATACGTTTAGTCTGCAGAAAGAGGCTTCAGCAGCGGCTTCCAGTGTGTCTCATTTTTTTGCTTTTAGGCCTCATCTACGTGAGATCAGTGAAAGCAGTGAAATCAGAGTGAGTTTAGCCACCTCCACCAAGGCTGGTATGTTTTCAGGTCTGTTTGTTTTTAGCAGGATCTTGCAAAAACTACCTGGCAGATTTTCGTGAAGGTTGGTGACCCACAGGAGGAGCCTTTAAAATCGTCTCTCCCGTGCCTTCGATGGGTCGAAGTTAAACGTACATTTCCACATAACGCTGTTGATCTAAATGTCCACTTTTCACAAATTAGGTTCCACTGGATCGTTTATCAAGCTGACTTGAACGCACCCTGTTACGTCAGTTTCCAGCCTGTTGTTTTTTTTCCCCCTGTTTTGGATTTTACCAATCCAGTGTCTCCTGTTTATCTGGGGTCGGATTCTGATGGCTGCTAGCTGAGCAGGGACTTCTACATGTCCCTTTCTTCAGCAGTGTTTTCATTCTCCTCCTGGGGGATCCCAAGGTGTTCTCTGGCCAAATGAGATATGGAATCCCTTCAGTGAGCTCTGGGTCTAACCAGGAGTCTCCTTACAGTTGAATGTGCCCAGATAACCTCTAAAGGAAGGCACCCAGGATACATCCTAATCAGATGCCTGAACCTCCTCTGCTGGCTCCTTCCAACATGAAGGAGCAGTGACTCTGCTCTGAGCTCCTCACCCTGTCTCTGGAGTCCAGCCACTGTATAGAGGAAAACACTTCCAGCTGCTTGTATCCGCGTTCTCACTGTTTCAGTCACTACCCAGAGCTGTTGATCACAGATGATGGAATGTAGATCGACACGTAAATCCAGAGCTTTGCCTTCCAGCTCAGCTTCCTTCAGAACAACTCTCCCGTCCACTGCTGATGCTGCACCAGTCCTTCTGTCCGTCTCACACTGGAGTTTATGACAAGGATTTGATCTTTTTTCCAATTTTTTTTTCTCCATCTTTTCCAAAAGTGGTGCACATGACCTTCATACCAAGCCTCACAAAACTTATCTTATGGATTTGTACTTTGGAAAAAAAAGTGTCCCTCAAAGCCAATCAAGATGTTAGTGAAATGCAACATCCTGTGTTGATATATCAAAACCAGAATTGGTACATGCACTCAGGACCCCATTTTGAGGAAACATAAATAGCTTTGTGTATTTGACCTCTAGGACGTGGTGCAAAAAGCAAAAATGCAAAACTTTTGCACACTTGAGGACGAGTGGCAGACCTGACAGAGGTCTGCACTGCCCAAGTGCTCCTCTGGTTTTTAATAACATGAGCTTCCAAGTAAAGGTCTGTGTAAACATATTATCGCAGTCTGCAGCTGCAGTTGCAGCTGCTTTCTTAAAGGTAGGACAGATTTGAACATGAAAGTCTTTAAATACAAGCTATTTCAGTCTTTGACAGGCTGCTGAGCTGCACTTCTTCACATCCTTGCTCTGGTCTCATTCCACTGTTGTCAGACTTCTTTCTTCCACTTGCTTTCTTAAGAAAACAGTTTTAACTGATCTGGTCGAGCTGACAAAGGCCCGCTTTGAAACCCAGAAATATTATGAAATGTTGGTCAAAGACAACGTTTTACTGAAGCAAACAGAGTTTGTCTTAATGCTGATTGTCAGACTTGTGCTAAACCAGAGACTAACATGTCTTCTACTTTAACCTCGGCTCTTCTCCCACTGTGTTTGTATCCACTGGAGGTAGCAGAAAGCCACGTGTGAAGACTGTCATGCAGCTACAGTCCGTCCAAACAGGGACAAACAAACTTTAATGTGAGTTTTCTTTGTTTACACATCTGGGAGAAAGTCAGACAACAAACTCTGCATGAATGTGGACTTTAAAGAAATCTGATGTAACGATGAATGAGGGACTCAGTTTACTGTTTCTAAACAATGACAGTAACTTGGTTAAACAAATAAAACAATGTAGTGTTTAGATTTATGAATAATATCCTTTTAACTATTATTATTGGGAGCATTATTGGCTATCAACCAACCATATGAGTAACATGTGGGGTGCTCCTAAAACTGTCCTCACTTCTGCTACATACGGCTGTTCTTTGCAACAAACCTCCCCAAACCTTTAGCTTAGGTGAATAACTGTACCTAGTCCACGTTCTTAAAAGCCCAGTGAGAAACCTGTGCAGATGCTGCCACCTTGTGTCGTTCTTATTCATGTGCAAACAACATCGGAGGAGGTGATGAGCTCAACTAGATCCACCTGTGAGCGGTGAAGTACCAACACAAGCAGTGAGAAAAGGAGAAATAAGATGTTTAAATATTTTATCAAGTCTCCAGATATTTATCACTTTAAAACAAAAACCAGTGACTGACAGATGTTTGGCAGTTATTTTATGTCCAAGAACCTTCCACATTTGCTGGACTTCCCTGTGCAACCATGTGCTGCTGGAGGAGCGTCGATCCCTGGACCAGGTCTGAAATGTATTTTCTCCTCTTGTTCTGCTTGAATATCTTTATAGTTCTTTGTCTATGTTGGACAGACAGGAAGTGTTTAAGTCACTTCCATTTTTCCAGTTTTAATTCGTGTTGCACTTTTAGTAATACATTTAAATTCCTTTGGAAGATCAAACTGTATTGTTTCAATCAAAAACTTGGCAAATTGTCCTCTCAGTTTCCATGTTTCAGGCTTCATAACTGTTGTCCAGTCCGGTGCTCTGCCTTTATTCCTAAACACAAGTGTGCAATACATGATGTTTAACTCTATGAAATCTGAAAACCAGACAGGAAAAAGTTCCGTTTAAGCCCAGAAAAAAAAAACAGTTCCTAGTTTTAAAAATTGTGCTGCGTAACTGCAAAGTCAAAAAACTATGGGCAAAAAAAAATCACTTGCTTGAATATTGAAAAGATTGAAAAGTTTATCATCAAGCTGCCTGTGTGAATGACAACTGATGTATTTGTTGCATCTGCACATGCAGACGCCAAACTGTAAATCAGATGCACAATGTGTAAAATAATTAGAACAGCCAATAAGAAAACATATAGAAGAGTGAAATCTGTCCACCATGTGAGATACAGTACGGCAGCTGGTGTCATTTTCAAAAAAGTAAACTTTGTACACATTAGAAATGTCTCTCGCCAACAGGTTTAATTTTGTAATGTCATTCGTTGGGTAGAAATTAGACCAAAAAAATTTTAAAATACAGAACTCAAAGCCAGAATATTCTTTTAATGCCTCTTTGTATTTAATATAAAAATCAAACTGTTGCTGATTAAATCAAATGTTTTCTGTCAGTGGTGTTTTGATGTTAGCACTTGGGGGCGACAAAGAAGGAAACCATAAAATTCTACATTTGGTTTCTTTAATGTGCCTGATTCAAAGAAACTTTCTGAGAGTTTTAATGGAACAGCTCAGTCAGTACTGAAAATAACCAGCGTAGCACTGTTGCCTCGCAGCAAGAAGGTTGCCGGTTCGCGTCC